TTTTCCAACGGTTGATCAGTTAAGACCACTATCTGATGACAATCAAAATAGGGCCTCAGCTTCCGAGCAGCTACTACTACCGCAAAAGCGACTTTCTCGAGTAGAGGGTAGCGAGTCTCCGCATCCGTCAGTGTATGACTGACAAAATAGATCGGTTGCTGACTTTTGCTTTCTTCCTTCAGCAGTACTGCACTGATGGTGGCTGGGCTAACGGCCACATACAGGTACAAAGTTTCTCCTTCTGCTGGGCTAGCCAGCGTTGGGAGTTGAGCCAGATGCTCCCGAAGCTGTTTAAAGGCTTCTTTTTGCTCTTTCTCCCAAACGAGCTCTTTTGTTTTCGGGAGTTTCAGGGCTTTGAAGAAAGGTAACCCCTTATCCGAAGCTCTGGAAATGAACCTCGAGAGGGCTGCCATTCTTCCGGTGAGCCGCTGAACATCCCGCTTTGTTTTCGGCTCAGGAAGGTCGAGCGCTGCTTTGACTTTGGAGGGATTGGCATCAATCCCCCTCTTGCTGACTATGAACCCAAGGAATTTCCCTGACTTCACGCCGAAGACACACTTCTTCGGATTCAGCTTCATTTGATGCTTTCTTAAGGTGGCGAAAGTTTCAGCCAGGTCTTTAACATGGTCCTTAGATTTTTTGCTTTTGATGATCGAATCGTCGACGTAGACTTCCATGTTTCGGCCCTTTTGATCGGCGAAAACTTGATCCACCAGCCTTTGATAGGTTGCCCCCACATTTTTCAATCCGAAGGGCATCATTTTGTAATTGTACACCCCAGCGTTCGTGACGAATGCCGTCTTTGCTCGATCGTCGGGGTGCATGAAGATCTGATGATACCTCAAGAATGCGTCCATGAAACTAAGCAAGGCATGGCCACTCGTCGAATCGACTAGCTGATCGATCCTTGGCAAGGGATAGAAATCCTTTGGACAAGCCTTATTTAGGTCCGTGAAGTCAACGCACATCCTCCAGGTACCATTGGCCTTCTGAACCATCACCACATTTGCCAGCCATTCTGGATATTGGCAAGGTTCGATGAATCCTGCCTCCAGCAATTTTTTGACCTCGGCTGCGATGTCTCGGTTCTTATTGGCGGAGTAATTCCGCTTCTTTTGCTTAACTGGTCGACACGTTGGGTCAACATTAAGCTTATGGGAGATGAGGTCTGAACTTATCCCGGGCATATCAGCTGCCGAGAAAGCAAACACATCTCTGTTGTCCCGAAGGAGCTGAATAAGTTCACAACGGGTGTTCAGATCAAGGTCCATCCCAATTGTTACACATTTCTCAACGTCTCCTTCGGTCAACTCAACTGTTTCAGTCTGTTGGTCCATGTCCATTGCTGATGGACTGGACTCTTCATAATCTGGCCTGCTGCCAATGTCAGCAGGTGTCCCAGTCTTTTTGTTCTTTGGCTGGCTCTCTGAGTCTTTTGGTTCAGTTGAAGAGCTAGCCTTTTCCCTTACGGGCCCTTTTTCTCTGGGTACAGATCCTTGGGCCGAAGCATTTAGGCCTTTCGGCTTTTTTGTGCTTGGCTCTCTTTCTTTTTCTTTCTCCTCCTCATCCTTGTCGTCATCTGGGCGACTACTGGATGGCTTGAGGTAGGTGCACCTTTGGGCGTCCTTTTGGTTGCCCTGTATCCTTTCGGGGAAGCCAGCGTCTGAGACGTAAATCATCAGCTGATGATAAGTTGAGACGACCCCTTGGATCTCATGAATTATGGGTCTCCCCAAAATCACGTTGTACACTGAAGGAGCGTCAATGACCAAAAATTCAATCATGACATTCCTGACTGCTTCATCGCAGCCGATGGTGACAGGAAGTGTCACCTTCCCATCTGGATAAGTTGAAGCCCCGTTGAACCCGGATACCGGGTAGGGTACCGGCGTAAGGTGCTTGGGCTTCAGCTTGATTTGATCGTAGGCCTTTCGGAACAGAATGTTTGCTCCGCTGCCACCGTCAACAAGGACCTTACTGACGTCGTGGTTGGCCACCGTGGCGATGATCACCAACGGATCCTCGTGAGGGAACGTTACCCCCCGACAGTCGGCGACTGTGAACGTCATGTTCGGCACCGGCGACTGGGGTGGCTGAATGTCAGCGTTGTTCACCTGGTGGGTCAGAGCCCTAAGGTGTCGCTTGTGTTCCCTCCGAGAGCATGTTCCTCCCGACATAACATTGATCGGAGAGAATTTTCCCTCTGGCTTTTTACTGTTCTTCCGGGGGAAGTCGAGGTCTTGCCGAGAGTCCTTTGCTGACTTCTCGGACTCCTTTTTCTCGCGGTGATCCGCGATGTATTTTTTCAAGTATCCCTTCCGGACCATGTCCTCTATCTGGTCCTTCAGTTGGATACACTCCTCAGTGTTATGTCCCGGAGATTCGTGGAACTCGCACCACTGATTTTTATTTTTTCGCTGATACCACTCTGGGAGTGGTCTCGGCTTTCGGTAACTCTGCTCTTCCTTCGTCACGCTGTAAATTTTGGCGCGTGGAAGAGGGAGCGGAGTGTAGGACTCGTATCTGCCTGTGTATGAGGCATATTTTTCCTTCGTTGGGTCGCTGGCCGAAGATTGCTCCGAGGCCTTTGCCTTTCCCTTTGCCCTATGGCCTTGGCCTTCAGACAAGGGTGTTTGTTTTTGCTTCCCTCCCTCAGATTGAGGTTAGGTTTTTGTTTTGTTCCATTCTTCGGCTCGGATGAACTTATCCGAGGCATTCAGAGCTTCCTCCAAGGTCTGCGGGGTATACATGACCATGAAGTCTAGGAACTTCCCGGGCTGAAGGCCATTCTGCATTGCAAAAACGGCTAGCCCCTGGTCCAGCTGAGAGACGCTGGATGACTCGTTGCTGAAACGGGTCAGATAGTCTCGGAGGCTTTCGGTCTCCCCCTGTTGCAGACCCATGAGTTCTGCAGTAGTCTTCTCTTGGCGGTTTGCCGTGGAAAACTTGCTCCTAAATTTGGAGGACAGATCATCCCACCCTGTTATGGAGCCTTGCTTTACTCCCTTGGAGATCCACGCTTGCCCGACCCCCTTGAGAGTGGTTGGGAAATATTTGCACCAAGTCGCTTCGGATCTGGGGCAAAGATGCATATGAGTCTCATACGAGGCAACGTGGTCCTTCGGATCTGAAGTCCCATCATATGTGATGTGCGACGGTATTTTAACCGTGGGCACGTGCTCTTCCAGTATCCATTGCTCGAATGGCGAACTGGCGGGTAGCATAACGGTCTTGCCCTTGTTCCTGGCTGAAGGGACCGCGCTCCGCCCTCTTAGAGAGGTAGGAGTGGTTTTCGTCCCTGGCTGGGAAGTCTGGGCCTCGGCCGCAGGGAACGAGAGGCGACTATGCACGCTCGGTTCCTTGCCGCCGAGTCGGTCGAGGACGCTTCGGCGAACAGTCTTAGGTTGTTCTCGGTGAGTAGATTCGGCCGAGAAGCTGAGCTGCTGCTCTTATGCGTTTCCTGTCGGGAGGTTGAGGATCCTTTGAAGAATTGAGGGTTCTTTTTCCTCTCTTTTTCAGTTTTCCAGGTATCCTCTTCCCACTCTTCCAGTTCCTGGAAGGAAGGAAGCTTCCCACCATCATGGTCTAGCTTCCTCCGCTGATGTCGGGTATGCGGAGGAGTTCAATCACGAGGTGGCGGCATATTTTGTGCCCTCGTTGCCTCCATGAGCACTGCCAGCGCTCTTGCAACCTCCTCCGTGCTGGGCCCCGTCAAAGGGGTCCTCGGCTGAGTATGGGAATGAGAGCGCACAGTCGATGGTTGGCTTTGGGGCACTGAATGTGTCCTATGATCGGACTGACCCCTGCTAGACCGAGAGTGACTCGGCCTATGATGAGTGTTATGAATTACGGGAGAAAGGGAATCCTCCTTGTATGATCCTCCTCCCGAGCTGGCACCCTTGGGAGAGTTCCGGCCCGGTGAGGGTGATGGTGTAGTGGTTTTAGGCTTTTCGCCTGCTCCTTGACGGAGGCTTTTGCTCTTGCGGTTCTTAGCCATTGCTACTAAGATAATTGCAAGATGATCTTGGTTAGAAATTTGGCTTAAAGATTTTTGAAAGCCCTCCCCACAGACGGCGCCAAATTGTTTCGGGTGAAAACAATGGGACCTTGTCGAAGGTCCGATGAAGTGGAGAAGACTGGATTCGGTCCAAGTAATGTTGGGCCGAAGGTTTCCTGCACAGTAAACACACGTAAACTAGCCTCGGGGGGTGTTGCCGAGGAAGGCCCCTCCGATGCTAAAGTCAGTACAGTGTGTAGAAAGAGAACACTATGCAAGAGAATTAATTGCTTGAGGCTTTGTTGAATTGAATGTACAAATGTAATATTGATGGCTTTTATACCTTTGCATATATGGAGAAGATGGGCCTTAGCCCAATTGACTTGCCTTGAGGACTGATCTTTGACTTTAGCACGGTTAGAGAGTTGAACCTTGACCTTGGGCTTTTAATTGGATCATTTAATGACTAGGCCCAATTGAACTAAATTGGACCCAAACAGCAACGAATTCCTACCTGTAGAGAAAGCAAGATATTGACAGAATCATAAAGTCGCTCAGGGTCCATCTTTTCTCCAACAATTTCCGGGGGCATTGTTGATAACATTAGACAGCACTATATAAAAATACAAGAGAAATAATCCAAGTTAATTGCAATTTTAATTTTATTATGTTTTTCTTTTACAAAAGATAAATCTTGTTTAAGGGTCTTACCTTGAGTCCTTCAGCGGTACAATCAAAGACTTGCCAACCGTGATCTTGATCGGAAAAAGTCCATGATCCTTTCGAGATATGGCGGTGCATTGATTTGAAGTTGCCGGATGGATTGTCCTTAACCTATTTTATACAAACATGTTGCATTATTATATAGTATCATATTTTATTTTATGCATACTCTTATAATCTTATGATCCATTTATAATTATTTAAAAACGCGACATTAGTCACCAAGGTATAAATTTAATCACCATATACACATGAAAATTTCACTTAGATAAGAAAAAGGTTTTACTTGTGACTCTTTATGAAGAAGTGGCCTTTCTTAAGAGCAGGTCCAATTTCGTCGAGGCTAAGATTAGAAGCTAGCAATGCTTGGACGGAAAACCCACAATCCCATTCTTGACTTCCAAAACTCTGCATTTTTTTAACATATAATTTTAAAAAATATTGTATGTATTCAAATTAAAAAAAAAAAAAAAAAAAAAAAAAAAAAAAAAAAAAAAAAAAAAAACTCTTTGAATAATTTAACTTACCTGCATTTTTAATCCATCTTCAGCAATCCAAATGTAATCTTGGACTCTAGCAAGATGTTTCTTGTAATGATCTCCTTTAGGATCTTCAACCCAACAAGCTAACATACATAAAACCTCAAAATTCAAAGCAAATTAGTCAATGTTTTACATTTTTAAGTACTAATTAGTGTAATCCCATGCTACTTGTACATTGTATGCTTATTGATCGATACCTTCTCAACACATCCAATGGTAATGTAACGACTGTTCTCATCTTCGTAATGTATGTGCTCCATTGTAACATCTAATGCTTTCTTTCGAATCAACTTGTTGAAAGGCCACCGAGTAAGGACAGGCTCCATAAAGATGTACAAAGCGTCCCACATTAAATCTTGTATAAATGGATGAGGATAATAAAGATCCGCCTGTTGTTTTCAGGATAGTTTGATTATTGTAAGTTGTAAAATCTAATAATGTTATCTATGTGTATAAAAAAAGTTATAAAGGTTGAGTTATATGATGATAGATCTTACAGGTGCACACAAATGGCGCATTTTCTTCCAACTTATTTGGTCGAAGGGTTGTTGTAGAGTTCTTCTCTAAGTTGTTTAATGAGAGGTGTGATTGGACCTATGAATCTCTTCCCATACAAGTATGACATTGGCATATAAACCATTCGACAGTAGCACAACATTTTGCTGCATGTATCACATCAAGTTGCAATACCAAAATATTTAAGAATTTAGTCCAAATTTATCATCATCACTAGCATAAAACATGACTTGTTACATGATATATATCAAGCTATTATGGGTACTATATATATATACCTGGATATACAGGGAGAAAAGACGGGAGGATCCAAAATTCAGGCGGCATTGGGTTACTTCCAGACCAATCAAACAGACCTAGTATCTAAAATGGTATGTAGAAACATGTATGTTGCATTAACATTCGTTAATCGATAGCCAATTGACCAAATTGGTAAAAAAAAAAAAAAAAAAAAATTGCTTCGGCGATAAATTGGTAAAAAAAAATAAAAAATAAAACAAAAAACCTCAAGTGACAATTTGGTAAAAAAAAAATAAAAAAATCTCAAGCAACAATCAAATTTTCTAACAAACTACTTGCAATTGGTATCGTTTTAGTGTTATTTTATTAAAAAAAAAAAATTCCACCTAAATTTACAACCCTTTATAAGGAAATAAAATTTTGAAAAAAAAAAACAGGTTTAAATACTGATCTTCACTTAATTTTCCTACCCATTATTAACCATTTTTTTTTTTAAAAAAAGGAGGTTAGAAGTAAAATTATGTAATTCAAAATTTAGCAAAATAAAAAGAATTCACATAATAATTTAAATTTTTAAAAACACTAAACAATTTTATTAGGATTTTTGAAGAGTTTGCCGAAAAAAAGAGATTTTTTGGTCTAAATGTTTTTTTTTTACCAAATTGTTGTATAATGTTAGAAAAAAAATTACCAAATTGTTGTCGGGGTTATTTTTTTTTTTTTTTACCAAATTAGTCAATTGGCCGTTAATTTGGTCAATTTGATCATGTTTTGACTTATGCATAATTGTGTTATATGACTTACACATAGCCAAGTTTTTCCCCAAGAAGGGATTTGAGTAACGCTGCCATGGTCAAGGATCCATTTTCGAGCCCTAGGACAAGCGTTGTTGTCGCCTTCATCAGATCCGATTCCAAGCATTCGCAAACAAATGTAGTTGAGTGCAGTACAAAACATGGTACTGTGTCCTTCAATGTGCAACCCCCAACCTCCATCTTCATTCTATTGTAATAAATGGTATGATCAGTCCTTTTTTTTAATACTACGTAAATTAAATTTATTTCCATGTTCAAACCAACACCTGATGATAATAGATGTTACGAAGAATTTCTCTACGATGCTGTGGCCCAAAAACAGAATTTAGAACCCCTGTAATGTATAAGCAGAAAACCTGCATGACATTACATGTACATATAAATGTTATTACATTATAACGAACTCTTGAAAACTTTGTCATAAAATGATGCAATTACATAATAAATGAGAAATATATTGTCAAGGGACTAACCAAAGGAGGGAGGAAAAATTGAGGGCCAGCAATTTCAGCAGGCCAATGGCCATGTTCAGACTGCAGGGCTGTAAATAAATTCACTGCTCTTTTTAAAGTTGTCGTCGCGGTTTCGTATGTGATCTCCTCCCCTTCTTCCACCTTCACTTGAGGTATTGTTTGCTTGAAGTTTTTCTCTCTTAGGAACTATGGTTCAATGATTAATTGCATGATTAGTGGTTTTTTGAGTTGAGAGGTGAGAGGTTTGATGTTTTAAAAAATAGTAGATGATAAAATTCAAAATAAAAAAATAAATAATAAAAAAAAAATATAGGTGGTAATTGTCAAAATTTCCTAATAATATCTTATGAACATATTTCCGACTTCAAATATACCAAGCGACGACAATAATAAACGACGAGTACCACATCTTCTCTTGTTATATGTTAAAGAGTAGCGGAGCCACATTGTCCTAAATGGGGTCCTTTAAATCTGCTAAATAGAAAATTTCAAGTGTAAAATTTTGAAATTTGTCATATTTTCTATCATCTGTCAAAAAAAACAAAAAAAAGTCATATTTCTATCAAAATTTGATCTTTTAATCTAAATAAATTTAAACAAATGTATTTTGACCCCACTTGATTATATTTCTAGATTTGCCACTTATGTTACATTTGCATAAGCTATACTCCGTAATATTTTTCAATTTCAAACTAGAATTTCATACATTTTCTAATAATATGATCATTGTAATAACATGAGTTAATCACATTACAATTAAGCTCACTAGTTAAAGAAGGGTATGTTTGCACGCCATAAGAAAAATAAAAATAAAAACCTGGAGACGCCATAAGAGATCTCCACAAGGCTTGACTTTAAAGCGATTGTTGTAAAAGTTACGTCGTGCTTCCTCCACCTCCTCCCTCTCCTCAGGGGTTAAGGCTCATTTGCACCTTCTCCTACCTTTAATCTCCACATCTTATGATCCTTGACTTGTGTTTGCAAAAAATTTCTTGAGTAAAGTCTAGTGCAAAGTGCAAAAACCTAACACCTTTTGTAACCTATATTCCAACTTTGGAACTATGGATTGGATAAGAGATATAACTGCATAACTAATACTTTCGTACTATAAACTACTTGGTATAATATGGAGTACTAGATTTGATATATATGATTTTTTTTTTTTTTTAAATCACTAAAACACTTTATAACCTATTAAATATATACTGCAACTAACATACATAAAAGCCGTACAATTAGTTCGGCCACAAGTGACATTGTGACAACAACTAACATCCGGAAACATTATGACTATCGTATTATTTTAATGAGAAACAATATGATCTACTCATTTTTTTCACATTATAAAAAAGTCATAGTTAGTCTCCTAATATCTACAATGCAAATATAATTTTTGAAAAATTTAATCCAACATATAACAATGATTTTTTAAGAAACTATAAAATAATAATAAAAGGGTTTTTCTACCTAGTGCCTTTGTGTAAGTGACTTTTCCAAGTTATGCCTGCTGTTTTTTCATATTACACATTTGTCAATTACAATTTTTTCTTTAGGAAAATTTGCAAATTGCAGCCATTTAAAGTTTGTATATTGTAAATTGCAGCCATTTAAAATTATTTTTGCAAATTGCAGCTCAAAAGTTCTTATAAATTGTAAATTTCAGCCCAATTCAACTTTTTCATCGGTTTACATGTTGAAAAATCTTCGTTTAAGGTTTTAAGGGCCATTTTAATTTAGCCCTTAGGGATCCAAATTGAGCTCGCAATTAGCAAAAAAAAAAAATAACTTAAGTGTCTCATTGTTACAGTTTTCCACAAATCGATGTATTTTTATTACGCAAAACGAGGCACTTATGTTATTTTTTTGCTAATTTCGAGCTCAATTTGGACCCTTTAAAGCTAAAATGTCCCCTAAAATCTTAACCGAAGATTTTTCGACATGTAAATCGATGTAAAAGTTGAATTGGACTACAATTTACAATTATACGAGATTTTGGGCTGCAATTTGCAAAAAAAAAAAATTAAATGGCTGCAATTTGCAAAATACGAACATTAAATGGCTGCAATTTGCAAATTTTCCTTTTAATTAATCCAACGTTAAGTAGTTTTGTAATTAGTTTTTCTCGTTTTGTATGCCGAAATAAAGTTCTTTCAAGGTTTTAAGGGTCTGTAGTTTAGTTTATAAGAGTCAAAACTAATTGAGCTTTGAATTGCAACAAAAAAGAAAAGCCCAATTTACACACTCTAAATTAAATACTCCTATTTATTACCTATGAACTAGCTCTTAAAAATTTCTCTTTCCTTAAAGAACCTTTAGGATCCCCCAATTATTCATGCTCTTATTTTATTATACTACCTCCGTTAATAGTTATCTGCAACTTTGGGGTATTATTTGTGAGAGATAAAATATTCCAAAGTTACAGATAACTATTAACGGAGGTAGTATTAAATATGAAAAGCTTTTCTTGAGCCAGGTAAATTCAAACCTGAATAAATATTGCGGACTGCTCAATTCAATTGATGGAACAAGGCTTTATTTTGACGTTAGTAGCTGAAACAAACAAATCTTTCATGGACCCATAAAACCATGTGAGCAAACTGACTTTCATAAAGGCCCTGTTTGGGAGAAAGCTGAAGCTGATTGAGTTAGCTGATTTTGACTAGCTAATTTTATTAACTGATTTAACTAACTTATTGTATTAACTGATTATATAAAAGTGTTTGGTAAATAGCTGATAGCTTAAAAGTGATTGAGTATGTGAAATGACCAATAAGCTAATTGTGGGGTAGGTAGTTTAGATAGGATTTTAAATTAAATGAGGTTATAAGTGTCATTTCATTATAATTAATGAATAAGCTAATTGAAAAAGCTCTTAAAATGAGCTTTTTCAAAAAGAGCTTATTTAAGCTTACTACCAAACACTTGTATTAGCTTGTTTGACTAGTCAATCAGCTAAAGTTAGTCAAATAAGCTAAAATAACCCCAATAAGCTTACTACCAAACAGGGCCAAAGATTTTTCATTTAAAATTTTTGCTCAATTATGTTTATTAAATGGGTGAAACTGGATGAAAGCTTGTTGTGAGATTCAATTTTTTTGTTTGGGTTGAATTTTAATTTGGACATGTTTGTTGATGAAAGCTTTAATAAGTTATGAGCAAAAACAAGAGTATAAAAAAAAATGCTATACATAGCCCTTAGGGCTACATATAAGCATTAAATTTACGCTTGAAAATCGTAAAAAGTTTAGAAATCATCAAAATATAAACACTAATTACACTAATTTACACTTGTTTTTGTCATGAATTCCTAATTTTACACAATTTCCAATAGTGTATTTAATGCTTATATAACCCTTAGTGCTACATATAACATTACCCTAAAAAAATGGTTGTAAAAATGAATTAATTTTATTTTCGAAAATAAATGCATCATGATCTTTCATTCTTGGTAACTTTTTACCATCACCTTATAGGGCTTACACTCTTGACTCTTCTCATATTCCGCCACTCAAAATACTTCTCATTCCTCGTTCTTGTTAAGATGTGCATAGAAAGAGTAACTTTATCTTAAGACAAGATGCAAAAAACTAAAGCAATCAATGACAAACATATACGGAGTATACATATAAGGAACATTTGCAATATTTGATAATAAGCAATAGATCGAAGGAACAAGAACAATGATGAACTATGGTTGATAAGCTTAATGATGACCAAGGAACAAATGGAGGTAACTATGTATGCTAACTTCATGAGATAAGTATCCTATACATACATAAGTACATGTCAAGAGAGTGAGGGATAGCTCTATTGGTTAGATCTTCTCTCCCGATTCTAAGAGATCCTCAAATCAATTCTTACACCTGTCCTTGTGGCTTTTTAAACACTGAAAAAAAAAATTATAATATTTGTAATAAGGCAAAAGCTAATGAGCGCCCCCGGGGCGTTAGATAAGAGAATTAAAGTGCAAATATTAGAGTAAAATTAACATTAATTACACCGAACGACGCGTGATTTTGTCATGAATTCCTAACTTAATACTATTTCAACCAATATAATTTATCCTTATCTAACGCCCCGGGGCACTCGTTAGCAAGATCGTTTTTTTTTATTATTTATTATTATGGAAAATGCTAACGAAGGATAAGCTAGTTAAAAGTATAAAAAATTAAGGGTTTTTCTAAGCTATGCCCCCCAAGTTCTTCGGTTTCTAAGCCGTACCCATGCATTTTCAAAGTTATAAATTGTGCCCTCCACCTCACGATATTTTATCAACATTACCCTTTGACAGCCATATCCGTTAACGAAAGTTAAGTTATTTTATCAATAATGGTGTCGTGGCGTTATTAATTTGGCACGTGTACCATTCTAATTGGTTTACACTTTAAAAAAAATTAAAAGTCAGAAAATAAAATAATAAAAGAAGAATTTGTTAACGTCAAAGGTTATTGTTAATAAAAATTAGTGAGGTTGAGGGCACAGTTTAGACGTTTATTAAGGCATGGGCACAGCTTAGAAACTGAATAAGTTTGGGGGCATAACTTAGAAAAACCCAAAAATTAAATTAAAATCAATATTAATTACACCGATTGACGCGTGATTGTTCGTTAGCAAAACCCTATTATTATTACTATTATTTTTTTAATCGATTATAAGAAGAAAAAAAAAAGCCTAATAAATATCATATTAAATAAGATAAGGTAGGTTTGCACTCTATATTAGTAAAAGAGAATCCAACACTCCCGTAATGATCGTTAGCATTTTCCTTAGTAAAAGAGGATCCAACACCCCTGTAACGGTCGTTATCATTATATTACATGTCCAAAAAAATAATGTAGACCCAATACAGGCTTGTCATAGGTAGTTGGTCCGATCCATTACCGGCCGGAAAAGGGAATGACACATAGCCTCGGCTGTAATGGAGTAATGGGGCCTCAAAATAAGAGAAAAGAAAAATATTGGAAAATAAAAAATAAAATAAATAAAATAACTTTAATGCTTAGAACTGTAGGTTTTATTTTATTATTATTATTTTTAAATCTTTTGAAAGATTACTCAGCTCAGTACGTTAACACATACCTAAGAGTATAATATCGGAGGTTGCTAAATATCAAAACACAAGGCTTGAATCCTCATTGATGTTCACCCAAGAATATATAATACAAGCTAACCCTATGAACATGGGATTAGGAAACTACCAAAAAGATAAATATCAAAAGATATCTTAGCACAAATATGCTAAGTAAATATATCCTTATATTCCCTAAAATATATCTTCAATACCCCCCCTCAAATTGGAGCATGTGGATCAAACGTGCCCAACTTGGAAAGGAGATAATCAAACTGCGACTTCCCAAGAGCTTTGGTGAAAATGTCCGCTAATTGAGTAGTTGTTGGAACATAAGATGGAGAAATCAAACCATCTATAATAGCATCATGAACAAAATGACAGTCGATCTCAATGTGCTTCGTGCGCTCATGAAAAACTGGGTTTTTAGCAATATGTAGAGCCGACTGACTATCACAAAATAATGGAATCGCCTTAGGGTGATTCACCCCTAGACTCAATAATAGGGCCTTCAACCACTTTAACTCGCAAGTAGCATAATACATTGACTTGTACTCGGCCTCAGATGAGGATGTAGCAACTGTAGCTTGCTTCTTTGTCTTCCAAGAAATAGGATAACGACCCAAAAATACGAGCCACCCTGTCAATGACCTCCGAGTAATTGGACATGCGGCCCAATCAGAATCACACCAACCCTGCAGAGTCAGTTCACCGTGGGCACTCAACAAAATTCCCTGACCCGGGGTACCCTTCAAATATCGAACGACTCGCAAAGCCACCTCCTAATGCTCATCACTACGGGGTTGTTGCATAAACTGTGAGAGGATGTGCACAGAATAGGCAAGATCTGGTCGAGTGACCGAAAGATAAATTAATCGTCCTACAAGACGACGATAGAACTCGGGATCAGCCATCACTTCGCCCGTTGCAAGACCGAGCTTGTGATTTTTCTCCATAGGAAACCCACACGGCTTAGCCCCCAACAATCCAGCCTCAGAAATAATATCCAAGGTGTAATTCCTTTGGCACAAAAATAAACCAGAAGGACTACGAGCTACCTCGATGCCTAAAATATATTTCAAAGGACCAAGGTCCTTCATCTTAAAACAATCACACAAATAAGCCTTGAATACCACTAACGCAGCGGA